AAAAAAACCCCCACCCCACCACCCCCTCACCCCCAAACCCACCCAGCCACAACACTGTGAATTCCTTAGGGAGGTGCCAGCCGCATCTTCTTGAACTTCCCACGCTCCTGCTGGGGGCTAAAAACACACTTATCTCCCTGAGCATGGCCTTCATAAGTCCATTCCATCACAATAACACCTTGGTACCAAGAAACCAAGGAACTTGGTTTGGACTTTTCTTTCTCCAACAACTACCTTCCAAGCTACTTCTGAAAGAAAGGAGAATTTTATTTTCAGCTTCAGATAGCTCATGGATACAGTATTTACAGTTTAATACAGTACAATACAGTATTGTACTGTAATTTCCAAAACAGATAAAATCAAAATACTGTACCGTTCAGAAAGTGGTTCACAGCACATTCTCCTCCACTGATCCCTTAAACACCATGCCCCCCTGAGCTCTACAGAGAAGAACAATTCTCACATTCTTCTCCTTGTTGCAGGGAGAATCCTTAACCCTCAACTTCATACAGTAGTCTGCTATCTACTTTAACCAGCTGTATCCAAAGGAATACTGTAAGAGTGGCAGCAGGGAGCTGATCATGGATGATCCAGCTCCTGAGGAACAAGCTCTCCTCCAAGGATCATGTGCCAGTGTTAAAACTATGGGTCTTGGGTGAGAATTATTTCTGATACAAAGCCTTCTCTGTTTGCCAAGGCCCAGGCTGGAAAGAATCCAATTTGCTTCTGAGGAAGACAAGGGCAGAGGACATTGTTTGGAGGCTTGCAGAAGCTTTTAGCATTTGGACATGATTAACCCTCTCACAAGGGAGGCTGCAGAAAACAAAAAGCCCTGCATTGACTATACTGTACTGCAGTGGAGCCAGTAAGGAGAAGCCCAATTCTGCCAGAGGTTAAAACAAAAGGGGTTCTAAGAAAGTTTAAAATAAAACAATTTTTGGTTGCATAAACTCTTATGGAGCAGAGTTTACTTAATCAGACAGAGGGATCTGCAAAATTAATGATCTGGCAGCAGACTCCCAGAAAGGCCCTGGTTAGCTCCCCAAGGCTTCATCCCAGCTGAATTTCATTTTGCTTCTGCCTGAATTTCCAGAATCAATTTGTAAACCTCATTGGGTTTGCAACACTGCGCTAAGCCATCACAGCTGTATTCACAAATTCTTCTAAGCCATATTTTGCTTAACAATGATTCATATTTTTATAAATCTAGTTTGGTGGATTTGCATAAGAACTAAGCTATAAATAATTATTTGCAAACTACTGTACAGTACTGTATATTGCTGGGAGCAGACAAGCCTGGGAGGATTCTTAAAGTACAATACGGTATTCTGGATCCCAACTCATCAGTACTAGAAAAAAAATTTAAAGGCTCTTTGTTTTATCATGCAATTTTTAATTTTAGTTTGCTAAAATGCAGTGTTAACAAAAATATGTTATGAAATTATCTTTTTGCCTTAGAATCATGGAGATCCATTTTACAGTACTTTCAAAACATTTTGTTGCCATTTATCACATACAGGACAAAGGTTGGGAAAGTTAAAGAGGCAGGGAATGTCCTCAGGTAAGTGCTGTACCTGTTGTTTCACTTAACAACTGAAGGCAAAATCGTAAGCTCAGTTGTGATTCACTTAATGACCATGGCAAAAAGCAAGGTTGTAAGTCGGCCACGGTCACGTGATGCCCTACTTAAAATCTGAATCACTTAACAACGGATTTTCCATCACTATTGTGGCTGTTAACTGAGGACTACCTGTATGGTATGCTGCTTGAAATTACCTTTATCTTCTTAATATTTAACATTAAATATGGAAAGCAGAAAGAAGTCTTCCTTCTTTTCACTTAGAACTAGGTCCAGAGAGACTCAGGTTCAAATCCATCCCTAGCCATGGAAGTTCACTGAGTGACTTGGGCCAAATAAACTCTCTCACTCCAAACTACAACAATCCTATAGGAAATATTGGAAGACGGAATGCTCTGAGCTCTTGGAGGAAAGGCAATGTAGGTCTCTAACAAATAACTGTCTCAGATCGTTAGTTGTTTTGCCCCCCTATTTTGATTCCCCCATCATCCTTTCCAATCCTGCCATTCTTAAAAAGGATTTGCTGCATATGATAAACAGATGTGAGGACAGTACACATTCTTGTTTCATTCTGTTTCTTGGAATGGAATTGTTTCTCCTTGTTCAGTTCTTACCATAACTTCTCATTCATTGCAAAGGTTTTTCAGATAAATAAGCATGGGTTCTGGCATACCTTTTCTTGTTTGATGTTGGAAGTCCTGTTTGCCCATTACATATCCTTGATGCCAAGGCTTTTATCTTGTCTTTCTTTGACAATCATGATAGCTTGTTCTGAAATCCACTTGGATCTTTGCCTGTCTAGAAACTGTATTACTTCTATTTGTTTTCATGAACTCAGATACTCTTTTGCATAATATAAGCTTATCAAGTCTGTTCCTTACAAATGTTTAAAGTACTCTTCCAGGTCAAAGACTGCAGGCACACATACTCACATTAATTTTCTATGATTAATCTGTTTATTTGACACACATAATTCATGGCTTTTTGCAGAATTTGCCCCAGAATGATCCTGGCTGACTGGCTTGTGCTTCTCCATCTTCTGTTTCTTTGACATAATTGATTTAATTCCAAAATGCATCAGGTGATATAAAAGCATAGAGTCTGTATTTATACTGCTTGAAGCAGGTGTACTGAAACAAAGAATTCTGTTCACAAAACTCTATTACCTATCTCCCACATTACTATATTTTCTCAATTCAAATGTGCTAATAATTCCAGATTCCTCTGTTTCTCAAACCTTTGCATACCGACCATCAATTAGAAATATCATATCCTTCACATAGCTTGCATTTAATAACTCTTGCAATTTGCTATAGAAATCCTCAACATCTTTTGCTGTTGTGTTGTAGTAGGTTCATTAATTCCTAAAGCATCCAGCTCAGTACTTTTCTCTTGGTTTTTGCTTTTCACCTTCCATGTTTCAGGTAAATACATCTTTGTAAAAGTCCTTTTTATAGGCATCATCAGACTTCCTTGTGGGTCTGTTCTAAGTAGACTCAGATCTTTTCATGAAAGTTGAGAGTCCTTTTTCTGTAATTAGAACAATGCTTTCCAACCTGAGGTTCTCATTAAATGGTACTCAAATGTTTCTAAATGTTTTCCTGACAGCAACAGAGAAATGGTTTACCTCTACTTTCTTCCTGGCTTGACTTTGGAGTTCCCTTTCCTTGGTTGGTCAGTTGGCTTCCCTTATGCCAGCAGAAATTTATCATATTGTAGATTACTCTTAGCTTCCTTCTCCCTTTTATCGTAATAGGAAAAACCTTGTAATTTTTTCTCTTCTCTCTTCTCTCCCCATCCCTTTTTCCTTTCCTTTCCTTTCCTTTCCTTTCCTTTCCTTTCCTTTCCTTTCCTTTCCTTTCCTTTCC